AAACAGTGTGATGCTCTGAACAAGCTTAGCGATGTTCATAGCAAACAGCTGCGGTTTCCATAATTAATATTTACTTCTGGATCCGTAATAAAAAATTGATGATAAAAAATATAACTCTAGCAAATGCGCTCTAGACGCATTGTTAGATCTGGTTTCGAATCAGAGGCAATTTCGGGTAGATCTGGCCCCTCTCATGTAAATTTTCTATAGAAAGCCTTAGCTAAGTTACTGCCCAAGGTAGCTCATATAACCCAAAACTTTCAACACCAGCACAGACCGTACTCTCTCATCGAGGATCAGTTAGCTTTCTGAACGCGCAGATTACTGTAAAACGGTCTTAGCTACAGTTTAGAATTGAATTTTCGACTCCAGGTTACGAATGTACATATGATATGAGCCGCTCTTGGGCAACGGCTTGATTTGGACCTCATAATCAGTTTCAAGGTGAGATAGTTATGTCATCAAACACTCCTAAACACTGGCTTAGAGGCAGCGTCCACCCAGATTCTCGACTTTCATTCATCGTCCCCTGGCCTTCACATGTCCCTGATTCCGTAAATGAAGTCGAGCATCCGCGAAAACCCCAACAATCCCCGTTCCGGGAAACCCACAGGTCGGCTTTCCAGAACGATGATTGGATGGGCGCGCACAAATGGGCGGGCATGGATGGGGAGGGCGGCGCAGTCTTGGGGTCCTCGTGCATCTTTGTTATTCCGGAGCTATATTCTCGCTTCCGAAGCGACATTTTAAGCCCCGATTCGGGCATTGGACTGATAGGGGGCCCTAGTATCATTTGCTGCCAAAAACTCAAGACCCCAACTTAGGGAGAACGGTGTCTTTAAGCTCCTATCGATCGAATAAGCTTACTTGGAAATCCCAATTTGATTGAAAAAACTTTGCTCACCATACTAGATCAAGCAAGTATCCGAATCTCTACCAGTGATAAAACTGATAGTGTTTATCGAATAATAGCATACTGTAGGAGATATCTGTACCGTACATGAAGGTAAGTGATGAGGTGAGAAGGACGGAATTGAGAAAATGTCGTAGCACTCAGTTATTGCAATATTGAAAGCGTGTCAATTAGCCAGCAGTGGCTGGGATGGCGGAAAGCAATCACGCAAAATTTCCGGCAAAACGAAAATTATCTAAATACCATTCTCACGTGAGCTCTCGTTGCCCGTAGAGGCACAGGTAAGTGCAAAACTTGATTATCCACAGAACGTACTTTACAATAAAATAAGAAGAACAGTAACGTTTGGAACAATTTCACTGGAAAGAAAACGGAAATCTATGTGTTTGAGGAGGACAAAGTATGGTGGTATCTGCTTTGACAAGTAAACTTCCTGAATAGTAAGCGTCTAAAACTTAGAGGCATAACCGGAGCTCTAGCTGCTTCCGGAAATTGTAAGCTTAGCTAAATTATGACAACATAACAAGCATATAACTTGCGACACCCACACAAGCACGATTTAGCTTAGCTTACGATGCTCCTTAGCTAGGATAATCTTACAGGTGGAGCAAAAACAAGAGGGTGGATAACTTTAAGACTTCGGCGAAAGTTTCGAAAAGCCATCGCGGCTATGAACTATTTCATCAACATTTTCTCAGAAGTGGTCCATTCTTCTGTGAAAGCCCACTCCACAGAACAACGAAGAGTTTCGCACTCAAAATGGATAAAGGAAGAAGCTTTTTTATTTCAAGCGAAATGCATGAAGACGTTTTCTGTTCTGGACAGCAACCAAAAGTGCAGCCTTCAGTGCGGCTTTATTAGCAGTCCAGCATTCCGCTCGTTTAACGCTTGCCCTAGTCCCAATTTAACATCGGCTTATTATGAAGCTCGCCTATTCCATATTCCTATTCCTAAAATAGTTCGCTAAACCTATATAAGCTCGTTAGATTGGCACTGGTATTTTGAAGAAATTCTCGGAAACGCTTTACGATGATATTCCTGGCAAAACTCATGTACACTCATGTACCATACCTTTTTGTTTCATGTAGTAGGGGTAACACCACAATTTGAGAAGATAGATGAAAAGTGTAGGAAAAAATGCTCAACCTCAAAGTGAGAAGAATCTGATAGATACATCCATAACTTCTAAATGGCCAAAATCGAGCTTAGGATGACGAGGAAATAAAGTTTGGGATCATGTAACTGCCACTTGCATTATAGTAAAAAAACTTTTGTTAGAGAAAAGAATGAGTATGTCCATACGACATTATAAAATAGAACAGCTAGGAAGCAAATTCTTCCGAAGCGAAGGGGTAAGAAGACAAAAGTATAGCGAACCATACGGCTGAAATCTAAGAATCACAAAGATATGAATGCTGTTTTGACTTCGATGATGTCTGGCACAGAATGTCATGCATAAGGTTGCTTCATAATGACCACAGCATGCATAAAAGACCAGCCGAGCGAGCTTTAAGAAAACTCTACGAAACAATCTATATGAAATCATAAGTCTGAATTTATTCTTATGAAAAAAAAATTCTTCTGAGAAAAACGCAATCTAATTTTACAAGTTCGAAGAGAAATAGGGGAGCTGATATCTGCCTCAATAATTCACATTTTGCACTTATTGAATAACTCTTTAACTCTCTACAATGTTCAGCAACTTCATGTACAGTAACATCTTGAGTAGGGGATGATAAGGAATAATGAGCCATATTGTTTATCATTATTTGACGTAAGAGAGCCCAGACCAATTATTATCCGCATGGGACTTATAAATATTGTCGCTTGGAAAACTGCAGAAATATAATGCGGAGGTTTTGCAAAAATTGTATGAATCATGATCTAAGCGAACAGACAAACCGTCGGCTTTGACAACCACTGGCCCGGATTTGGTGGCAAATGTTGAAGATCTCAACAACCAATTTCAATCTTAAACTTCTGAGATAAACTTAATGATGTAAGGAGCTCAGGCTATAATTATTTGGGAAATCTCATGCCTATTCATCGAATACGAGCATTCTCTTTTTAGCCCTCGAACGTCTAGGACGACTGGCCCCATACTAACAGTATTTAAATAATTGGATGGTACACCTTGAGTGTAAAAGATAAAAGTAAAGATAAACATAAAGACCATCTTGGACCCCAGATCATTGAATTGGGAACTTCCCTTCTTTGTTCTCGTCATTTCCAACTTAGTTTTTCACGAATTCTAATATTTGTAGTCCCCTAGGATAAGAAGCTGAGTTATATCGACAGGTAAAATCGAGCTACCTGAGAGTAAAAGTACTAATACACCCATCCAAATTGTATTCAAGTTCAAAGGCTCACAAATGTGTTCAAAAGAGAAATTCGAGATTAGATTTCAACCATATACATGACTGAAAACAATTGCATATCAAGAATTGATAATTTATCAATGTAGAGCTAATCCTGACGATTCAAAGGACAAAATATACTATCTTTTAAGCAAATTAGAAATCCAGTGCAAAATAGATCGACCATTCTTTGTGTCAAGCCCTTTTCAAGTTTCAAATAAGCTGTTTCACTCTAGCGCCAGCGGTCTTTAAGCAGAACTATTTCAGTTGCCTAAGCCTATTTCATCTCGAAAATTGGAACAGGTATCGGAACAGAGAACCTTTGTGTAATACTGGCTCAAGCATGGTCTAGCGGATATTCTATGCAAAGATCTTAGTAACTGTTATATTCATGGAAAACAAGCCTGTTGATCAAAAATTCATGTTCAGCTTACACACAAGGAAAATAAAACAATTTCTTGGGCATGATGCCAGCGCTTGGCTCAACACAATCAGCTCCAAACGTGATATGCTTTGTAAAATTTCTTATAAAAATTCTCAGCTTCTTAATGAAGCTGTAAAAAACATTGATACTCTCCTGCGAAGTCACTCATTCAGCAAATTTTTAGTCGAGAGGGTAATTGGAGGTGTTGTAAGCTAGGTCCATAATCGGAATTTAACTTATACCAGGTAAACTATAGGGTGCGGGAAAAGTACTGTCCCTTAGTCTCTCTCCTAAAAAAATCTAAAATAATAAAGCAACAATATTAATAATTAAAAATAATTCCAAAAATTTTTCTTTGCAGCTCTTATGAACATGTGAATTTGGACGATTTTGTGGGATTTACTTCATAACGCCAGCTCATGAATTGACAAGATCTATGATCATCAAAAGATTCAACAAATTCAACGGCAAAACAACATGTCTGATGTTTTTCACCCTTTCACTGATACGATACTTATGACTAACAATGGTTAATTCTAATATTAGAAATAAGCATCAAAACTGCAAGATCACTGATGTAGAAACTTGTTATGAGGAAAGACATACGACGAGAGCAACTAATCAGCAGAAGATCCTCATTTACGATATAAAAAAATCTAGAATAAATAATCTAAAATATCTAGACCAATAAAATAATAATGTTAATAAAATAAATTCTAAGAAATTTTCCTTGCAGCTCTTATAAACATGTAAATTTGGAGGATTTTGTAGGCTTTACTTTACTTCAGAACGCCAGCTCATAAATTTAATTTTCCTCATGGCTCCCAAGATGCCATAAAAGGAAAATTTTACGAAAACTGCAAAAATTTGCAGAAATGTCTCAATAGACTAAGGAAGTCAGACAAAACATGACAGTAGTGATAGATTCTTCACGTTATGTTTTGGCACTTTTTCCCAAGTGGAAGACAGCATAAGACTAAACAAATCTTTGTTTACTCTCCATTTCACCTCAAGTGCTCATGTGCTTACAAGAAAGAAAAAAAACCGGAAAAGCTCAGAAAACTAATCTCCCTGTTTGGCGAAGCATCAAGCGCTTAACTAACAAACTGTATTTGGCATTTCCGGAAACTACGGCTTATTCCTTAGGCTTAATATGCTGCTCCGATTACTGCAGTTGTTGAGATATTTTTGGAAAACGAGGCTCTTAAGCGAAGTCGTTTATAGACATCTAAATTGACTCCAGCGCTGTATGATGGCACATCCGTACCAGTTGGCAAAAGAAAAACTTAGGAAAAGATAAACTCACCTTTTCCACGGTAGTTTCTTCGAACAGGTTCATGATGATGGCCGGCGATCTGAAAGAAATGGTATAAAACAGTATACTTCTGGATGAATTGGCGATTCCAAGTCGGACAGCAACTATGTGGGGGAAAAAGAAGAAAAATAATTTTGCATAGCGAAAACTCAGATATTTGCACTATTTAAGAGCTGATCAGGGCTCGATGTGACCAAGTTTAGGATTCAGTTATGAGTTTGAATAGCACAAGTGGTGCAGAAACTAGCAAATAGAAAGCTTTCGCCATCAGAAGACAATCTGAGCTTAAGAACTAGATTTAAACACTTTTTTTAATGAGATAGCTTTATCAACAGATTCTGATGCATCAGCAAGATATATAACTATAAGCTTCACTTATTACTTGCAGCGGAGCTGTGGAGATTGTGCAGAAATGTGCAAGAATTTCACGGCCATGGTCTGGTCATGCTTTTATACAAAAAAAAAACTGAGAGAATAAGATATGAATCTAGGATATAGCAGAAGCAATTTTGTATTAGATCTGAAATTCCACAGGTAACAATGAGTTCAAATATGAACTTCAGATGGCGATATTTCCAAAGCATTCTCCTTTTTCGCTGATAACGATCACATGTTTAAAAAGTTCGCGAAAATTAGAAAGAGTTGCTGGAAAGTGCAAGACATTTAGGCTTCAAATATCTGAATTACAGAGCTCCTCTTTTTTTTACTGCTAGTTGATGCCGCAGGTAAAACATTTTAAATCACATGTTTCAGGTTAAGCTCGATAAAATGCTTGTTACTGTCATGTAAAACTTTATTACAGTCTTTATAATGACTTCCAAATGGAATTCCACTAAAGCAGCAAAATGATTATCGCGTCCGCTACAATAGTTCAGCCCAAAGTGCATTTCTGACAGTATCTAAGGAAGAGGGGGGGGGGGGGTAGGGAGAGAAGAAATGGATCAAGCAAATGATGGAGATTAGGAGTACGTCGACTCTGCCCTTCTTCAGAATAAAAATTAGGCAATATATGAAGCACTTGCTCGACCTGCAGAATCTATAGCTCGAAATTGCTCTGAGCTAATGAAACCACGTTGAGTGCATGACGGACTTAGGAGGATATGTGAAAGAAAAAACAAGGAAACTTGAGGGCAGAATTTTGATCCGAAAAATCAAGCTGATCCAACCTCTAACTTGAACACTATATCAATTTTAGGTACTTTTCCGTTATCCGGACTCAGACTTTCAAAAAATTGAGACGTTTATGCTCAGCTCGAATTTTTTTTCAAGATCACTTCCGGTGAGGAACGACAGCATTTGAAATGACTCAAAAGCTGCTTCAACGGTTTTCTTTCAAAAGCAAAACAATTCAAAAGGTTTGAACATCTTGGTCGCTTTCAGCAATGACTCAAAAAGGTCTCCCACTTCAAAATTCGCCATGCGAATTTAGCAGGTAAGCATATAAATGATGGTTTTAAGTACCTGATTGCCACCGGTTTCGCCGCTTAAATGGTAAAACAATAGCTCACTTCTCTGTTTTGGGCAAATCGCATTTTCTTGGTTTTCATCTCTAGTGGAATGGTTTTTTTTTGCTTACGTATGATAATATTTGGACACTGGAAGTGACGCTCAACGTTGACGTGATGCCTTCTTGTATGAACGCTTTATGCTGTGGGCGCAAAGTCCGCAGCAAAAACAATGTCACGATTTTATAAATGAACTATAGAAGACATGCTAATTTTTTTTACAAGTGGCAGGAAGTTGACACTTCTTCCTGTGAAGTTATGACGGAGTTTGTTAGAGGAAAAGCTGCAATATCCTTCCTTTAAAAAATGAGTCCCGGTAACGGAAAAGTACCCAGTTTTCTTTCGGTCGCAGTGTATTGGAATAAGCTGTACTGTGAAATTTGGTAGTGCAAAGTACCTACTGAAGATTAGAGCACAACAGCTGGTACTTACTGCTTCATGCAACGGCTTCTTCACAATTCTCGTCAGTATTTGATAGCAGCATGAAACCGAAGTGCTTGAATAATTTGTTTTCCAATTTTGTATTTATTTTGTATTTTCAGTCCAAAAGAATCTCTCGCTTGGATCACAGTTCATTATTATATTAGGTTGGCCCGAAAGTTCTGTCACACCATTTTCAAAAATTCATATCTTCTGGTTTTTTAACCGAATTGCATGTTTTCATTTTCAGCTGAAAGAGCAATTCATTCGCTTTATAGTATTTCCTTAGAGGCTTTCAATTCAGCATTGCATGGTTAGAAGCGGTAGGAGAATTACTCAAATTTCCAATTTTATGTGGGTCATAAAAAATCTGAAAACTGCAGTAGAAATCGGAGCTGTCAGTATGATAGGTTATATTAGCTGCTCTTTCTAACTGTGCAAAGTCTGTGCTGATTGTACATTCTATGGGAAGTTATGATTTACGAACAAGTAATACGAAAAGGGCAAATCTGATCATCAGAACCCAAATTAGGCAAAAAGCGTTGTGATGTGAAAAATTTATGAATTTTGCTGTTGAAGGTAAACCTCGAATCTTCCGCTATCGTCACGATTTTAACACTGTTACTAACATTGTTACTAATAAAAATGCTATTGAATCTTAACATCGCCACTGCCATTAAAACCATTAATTATTATCATTATTACAACGATGTATATTATTGCGATGATTGGCAAAAGTAATTATCACTATTGTTTTTAACGATAGCTATGACTAAAACGAACATTGACACAATTGCATTTTAGTGAAAGATTGAGGTATATCTTCGCGACCTTGAAATGTTCCTCTTAAATTTCTGCCTTCCTTCCTCAAGAACTGAAGGGGATACTTGACTAATCTGATCTGCAGCTTTTGAAGCCAAGTTCCAGACAATTCTGAGTTGTCTAAGCGTCGTATGGGGAAACTAATGGGGGCCTTAGCTGAGTGACTAACTCCATCGGATCAGCAAAGCATCTTGGTTAGAATGGTTTCTGTTTCAGATCTGCTAACACCATGTCACAAAAGGTAAAAGTTCTCAAATCCACCAGGCCGAGTACTAGAATGCTTTAAAATGTGGATTTTCTTGAGCGAAAAAATCTGAGCTGTCAAGGACATGACAAGGGCATTTCCAAAACTTGTGAAGACGTAAAGTATAAAAAAGAGGTCTTCCATAATTATCGCTCTAACGTTTGCAGGATATAGACGTCATTGGGTGTGCTAAAAGTTAGTTTATACTTGCAGTGAGTAATTGTTAAAAGGAACCGCCCACGATTTGTAGCTTGCTTATGTACTACAATCGGCTAAACTCTGTGCTTTTTCACTAACGAGTAAGTGAATGACTCAGAGGGGAGAAAAACGTAATAGAAATTTGTAGAATTCACAGTAAGACAAATCTTTTCGTCTTTCTGCCGTCTTCGTTTGCTGTCTTGCCAGCCCATAAAGCCTCCTCAAAACCCCGATAGCCAAGTAAGTATTAGGTTGGCTAGAAAGTTCTTGCGTAATTCAAACAAAATTCAATAACTTTTCAACGACTAAACCTAAATTCACAATCTTGTTCTCTAAAAATATTAGAGGGCCTGCGCTCCAAGATGGATGTTTAAGCGCAAGATTTCATGAGCTAGCCCCCGAGAACGAAGCTCTCAAATATGGGGCTTCAAAATTTGTAATTTTGAGCTTGGTGCCAGAAAATCGCAGAGTGCCCCTAGCTAGGCGAAAAAAATCTGTAAAAATTACTTAAACTGCAGAAGCCCATAGGTCATTTTAGCAGGCTTTAATCTCGCACGGAAATGCGAAAACAAAAAATTTGTGGAATTTGTCATTTTACAGGATAAATTCCCTTATCGATGTAATTTTTCCACAAAAACACAGTTTGCAACCAGAAATATGACGTATTGCCTATTTAGAACCTTGCGACGTTTTTTGGAGTGTAAAAAATTGTTTTTGCCGAAGAACTGCGGTATTGAGTGGATTTTTTCCGCAAAATGACTATTTCACGAATTTTTTGTTTTTGCTTCACCGTGCAAGATCAAAGCCTTTCAAAGTAACTTATGGACTTCTGCAGTGTAAGTAATTTTTACAGATCTCTTTCGGCTAGCTAGCGGCACTCTGCGATTTTCTGGCACCAAACTCAAACTTGCAAATTTTGAAGTGCCATATTTGAAAGCTTCGTTCTCGGGGGATAGCTCATAAAATCTTGCGCTTAAAAATTCATCATGAAGCGTAAGAATTCTAATATTTTTAGCATACAAGATTGTGAATTTAGGTTTAGTCATTGAAAAGTTATTGAATTTTGCTTGAATTACGCAAGAACTTTCTAGCCAACCTAATATTTCGAAATTCAATAACATGTCAAGTACACGTGTTTGAAACTCATAAACCGCAACAAATTAAATTAAATCGATCTCGAACCTACATCATTTCTCTCAGGAGGCTGCAATTCCTTTTTTTTTCTTCGGAAATCCTTGTGCTATAAGTCTGATGACATCATGCTAGCGCCGCACTCGGAATGCAAAAAAAGATCCTATTCATTACCGCATCAGCTATATTTTCTGAATGAGCATCCTTTGCTAACACCTTTGTACGAGTCTCTTCTATCATACATAATATAGCTTACCACAGGATCAAAGAGCTCGAAAAAAATCCTAATATTGATGACTTGTGATTTGAACAACTAAAGGGCCGGGCATACACTACGCTTTCAGTCGCGGCACGATTTGGCAATATTCCAACTGTCCATAACTCACTGTGAGCACATTTTAAATGTACAGAAGATAGGGCATTTTATCAATTCATTAAGTTATACACAATATGCATGTGCACTTTGCTAGCGTTGGATATGAAGACTTTTGGCGAATTGCCAAGTCGCGCAAAGTATGCCCGGCCCTCAAAGAGACTATTGTTTAAACAAAGTTTTTGAGAAAAGCCTTTCTCAACAGTTTCTAGACAAGGTGAAGTAATCAATGCTAAATAGATAGACAAAATCGGCTAACATTTCATTTGAACTCTTTACTACATCTTGATTTCTGGTAAGAGTGGAGCAAAGGCTAGAGAATAAAATTCTAGACAGACCAAATGGAA